ACAGCAAAATTCTGCTCAGAGTGTGGCCAACCTATCAACAAAGTTAATACTAATCGTCTGTCATATCCAGTTACAGCCGCAAAAAATGATTCTGAAACATCAAATATTAATAACGATCCTTATTATAACGGAATAAATGCCCATGCAAGACAATCATTACCGTCCCTTCTTTATAATCAGCATCAGGCATCTTTTTCCACATCCTCATTCGCATCCTACAGCAATTATCCCTCATCTCCAATAATTGACTATTATAATAAAAATGCAAATTCTTTTGTAGACAAAAATCAATTATTATATCATCAAAAATATAATGCAGATTCTTTTAATTCCTTAAATGATCCTTTGGGAAGGTCTAAAGGTTGTCCTGTTGTAGCATTTGGCTTTGGTGGTAAAGTTTTTACAATGTTTCCACGTACTGTGCAACGATTTACTGGTACAGATCAGAATATTGCTATAGCAAAATTTGCTCCAAGTGAATTCACCATACGCACACTCAAACATTTTATTTTCACATCCGATATCGATGAATTTCCCGGTCCATTGCTCATGGATAATAATAAAGGTGGTGTTAAGGCAAAAAAAAAACAACTGAATAAATATCTTGGTGATAAAATAATTTCATTACAAGATTCAGTAATGAAATTCTCTGGTGAAGAAATTGAAAAGAAAAAATTAGAATCAGGGTTGATATCTTCTTCGCATTAAATATTTTTATTATTATTTATCATCTATATTGTACTACTTATCATTATCGATCGACTTTAAACTTACTGTTTTGAACTTGCATGCATATCTTTCATACGTATAACTAATTAGGTAAGTCACGTGTGACTTTAGGTTTTGTTTTTTTACGGTTATGTATAAATAATAATAATTCAAATATAATGGTGACTCTTTTTATTTACTAAATTTTATTCTTTGCATATTACATATTACACGAAAAAATTAATTTCGTATCTAACAAAGGGAATAAGAATATTTATTTGGTCATGAGGTCATTATATTTGTTTATATTACCATTTATTTATTATGAGTATATAAAAAGGAATAAAGTAGATTGGAATGAAAAAATATTTTATTTTTTTAAAAATAAAATATTTCTTCTGTACGCTTAGTTCTTCATTCTTTGAGTTCTTTTTTTAGTTGTCCGTCCTAAACAATTATAAAATTTTTTTAAAAAGTCAGATAGATAAATCTATCATGAAAATCATTATAGCATATTTTATTTTTTTTGCCCTAGTTATTAATGTAAATACATTACCAACTGATAGAAATCATACTACACACAATCCATTTCGTCCAAATTTTGGACCAGAATTAGTTCATCGTAAATATTTTTCCCCATCAATAAAAGAATTTGGACATATATTTAGGTCTCAATTTCACTCTGGTGATCCAAAAGAGATAGCAATTAATTTTGTTGAAGAATTGCATCCGCATTCTAATTTTATAATAAAGAATATTTATCGATCGGAGCATACTAATGTTACTCATGTATATTTCAAACAAGTCATAAATGGTATAACAGTTACTAATGGCGATTTAAATATAAACATCGACAAGCATGGATCAATCATCAGTACTGGAGATTCTTTTGCTTTACCTAAGTTCCGTCGTCCTCTTTCCAACCACAAATGTGCCTCAAAGACACAAAAAGATAATAAAATTGATATTAATATTAATATTAATGGTGATGATGTTTTTGATAGTGATCTAACTTTGGGTATTAACAACAAACAACAATCTATCTTATTTTCATCGAAAGATAAAAGAAAAGCAAAGAAAAGATCAATGGTTAGGGGGAATGCTGAACTTTATAATATCAATTTTGATCCAAACCCCATCATCTCACCCTACGAGGCTCTAACATCTTTTGCAAGTCTATTAAACTTGCAAGCACCTGAATATGATGAATTGACAATTTCAACTACAAATTGGTTGAACGACGAACCTACATTATTAATATCAAATGTATCTTTTGCCTTGTCTGATGTGGTTGTCAAGCAATCCTATCTTCAGCTAGATACTGATCATCAACTACAATTAATCTGGGAATTACAGATTGAAATGGAAAATAACTGGTACCATGCTCATATCGATGCATATTATGGCAATCTATTGTCTTTGATAGATTGGGTGTCAGATGCTACTTATAATGTATTCCCATTAGGCCTAAATGATCCTTCCGAGGGAAGTCGAAAATTAGTAACTGATCCTAACGATGTTATTTCTTCTCCCTATGGGTGGCATTCTCAGGGCCCAAGAAAAAATTTTACTACCACCATCGGAAATAATGTTTATGCTCACGAAAATTTCAATGGTGAATGGGATTGGGGTATATATTATGATAATTAAATATAATTTGTTTAAAGCAATTTAAATTTAAATTAAAAATTATAATTTTATTTATATTTTACAGAGGATAATTATCGTCCAGATGGTGGCAATGATTTATTATTTGATTATCCACTTAATTTGTCAAATACTCCTAAATCTTATATCGATTCTGCTGTTTCCAATTTATTTTATTTGAATAATATGGTAAGGATTTTTACTGATGAAGATAAAAGTCAATAATATCATTATCATCATTAACAATAATTCTATTTAATTCTTAGATTCATGATCTATTTTATAGATATGGATTTAATGAAGTTGCCGGAAATTTCCAAGAAAATAATTATGGCAAAGGCGGCAAAGATCATGATGCTGTCATTGCTAATGCTCAAGATGGATCTGGGTAACTTAATCTTTTTATTGTTAATTAAAATTTTCTTTCAAATTAGCCCTTCCCCTTAATATAATATAATGATCTTTGTTCGTTTATAATTTTAGATACAATAATGCAAATTTTGCCACGCCTCCTGATGGTCAACATGGTAAAATGCGTATGTATGTTTGGGATGTGGTCGATCCACTTAGAGATGGTGATTTAGAAGCCGGTATCGTTGTAAGTTATTTAAACAATTTTCCATACTTGCACTTATCATGATATTTATTTATTGTCATTAATATTAAAAATTTTTTTTTTTTAAATTAGATTCATGAATATTCTCATGGTATATCAACCAGATTAACAGGCGGACCAGCAAATAGTGGTTGTTTAGGATGGGGCGAAGCCGGTGGTATGGGTGAAGGTTGGGGTGACTTTTTTGCGACTATATTACGTATGAAAGAAGAATATAATCGTAGCGTAGAATTTGGAATGGGTGAATGGGCAAATGGTGGTGAGGGTATTAGGGCTTATCCTGTAAGTAATTTATTTAATTGAAGTTAATTCTTTTTTTTTTTTGAAATTTTGTTATTATTGCCATCATCATCATTATCATAATCATAATAACATAATATATATATATATATCTTATCATTAGTACTCAACCTCTCTTAAAACCAATCCTGAAACATTTGGTTACTTGGACAAACCAGGATATTGGGGTGTCCATGCTAAAGGGTAGATACATCAACATTATACGTCAAAACTATAATTTATTTATGCACGCATGCTCATACTAACACTCGCACTCGTTAATTCACATTTTTAATGATTAATTAGTGCTGTATGGGCTGGAATTTTATATGAAGTTTATTGGAATCTTGTTGACAAACTTGGGTTCACATCATCCTGGTTTCCACCAACAGATGAAGAAGATTATAGTTGGTATGATAGATCGATAATTGACGGATTCAATACAAATAAAATTCCAAAACATGGAAACACATTATTTTTACAATTAGTGGTTGATGGTATGAAACTTCAACCATGTAGACCAACTTTTATCAATGCAAGAGATGCAATCTTGCAAGCTGATGAAATCTTAACTGGTGGTGAAAATAAGTGCGAAATCTGGAAAGGATTCGCTAAACGTGGTTTGGGTGTCAAGGCTAAACTTGTTGGCGGTCCTGACTGGGGTGGTGTCAGAAAAGAAAATTTTGATGTTCCTACTTCTTGTTCTCACATCTGTTAAATAAATTAAAACATTATAAAATAGTATGATGACAACGGCTAATTAAATATTTAATTTCTCTTGTTTTAAATAAATATTATAAACTTTTTTCGTTTCATGAATGTTTTCTCAAAATCAGTCGCCTTAATCGAAATCGTATTAATTCGTATTAATATTAATAAATCAAGAAATGATTCTTAACAAAAAATCACATGATATATCAACATCCAGTTAGCGCTCGATATAAGGGAGAGTTAGTTTTGACACTGTTTACTATTACTGTATTCATTATATAAAAAAGATTGGCAAAAGTTTGCTTTATTTTGATCAGTGAATAAAAGGAACTTTTGAGCTTTGTAAAGAGCCGTCTCTATTTGTTTGTTTACGGTTATCTGGTATCATTAAATGTGTGCTTACAGATTCGCATACAAGAAAGGGACAGTAAGTGAGAACCAATGTAAATTCATAAATTTATTAATGACAAGTATCAAAGTATTGTGTATTGCTTGTAATTAATTGACAAGAGTAGCCCAAAAGTTAAGCCATAATCAAAAGGCTACCTTGCAATATCCATTTAACAAGAATCAAAATATTCTTATTACATATTATAATTTAGAAATAAAAATAAAATAAAATAAAATAATTATTGTGAATAAATTTATAATGGAGATTAAATTGGTCACTCTCTTTTAGAATCTAATGTAAATAATTGTTAGCAATAATTAATGGATAGATAATAATTTTCAATTAATTAATAATAAGATTTTTATTCACCTTCAGCATTAAAGAGAAGAGAGTTAAAGCCAAGAGTATCTAATGGACTGTCATTACTTGTATAATTTTTCAAGCTTTTAAATTTAGCAATCTCTTCATCTAATATTCTACTTGTATAATATGCATCTGGATGCGATTTATGTGCTTGTTGTGAATTACTACTGCCACTACCACTGTTGCTGCTGCTGCTGCCATCATCATTAAAATCAATTTCTTTTAATTTATTAAAAGAAAAACTCACAAGCTCTAGAATAGTTGGTCTTTTAGATGGGTTCACATCCCAACATCTCTGCATCATTTGCACATAATCATCAGGCATTCCAGGTAATATTAGTGGTCTTAAACCTTCTTCA